CCACATGTTCCCCAAGTTTAGACTATATTTAAACTCTTATTTCCATATTACCTGTAACCCACGTCATCCACTTGTTTTCACAAATCTCACACTGTTAACGGATAACACATTTTGTACTGAATGACACATAACACCATGAACGCTCACGTTTCTACACATGTATAATTCACTACCGGACGCTCAGCCGGAGAGTTATGCCTCCCAGTTAATCTTAAGCCTGCCCTTCGTTTAATCTTTTATAAGAGACAGAACTAAGCCCTGACTGGAGGCAATCCTACTATCCTTCTCTCCGCTAATAAAGTCAAGGAAGATTGTCTTCTACACTTTAATCAGTCGGACTCTAACTTTGCCCAGCCTAAACACTACTCAGCCCGTTTCTACTACAATTCGACCAAGCCACCTTCCCCGGCTTCCGAAGTTGCCACCCAGACGACGGGAGCAGACAAGATTCGAGAAAGAACTACAGCAGTCTGGGCGAGGGTTGCCTCCAGTTAAGTACACACATACGCATGAATATATGTGGTAGATAAAAAACAGATGCATGCTCACACATATATAGACCTGGTGATGGAATCCAGGTAGATTCCGAAACTGTTGTCTCACTTTCAATAGATCTAGTTTTACATTGTGGGTATGTATATATGTGTGTGTGTGTGTGTGTGTGTATGTATGTATGTATCTATCTCTATCTATCTATCTACCTGTCTATCTATATATCTATATCTATCTATTATATATATATATATATATATATGTGTGTGTGTGTGTGTGTGTGTGTGTGTGTGTGTGTGTGTGTGTGTGTGTGTGTGTGTGTGTGTGTGTATGTATATGTATATATACATAAATATATATATATATATATATATATATATATATATATATATATATATATATATACATATATATATATATATATATATTCATATATACAGTACACATACAGGCACGCACCACAGATACACATGTACATACGATATACACATATGTAGTATTTATATTAAATACCACGTGCATTTCATCCCGACTTACTTCCCTGTAACAAAACTGTCCGTTTTATATGATTTAATCTTTTATTCAAATTACACAAAAAGATTTTGAAATATCGAAAATTTTATTCTCCTTCTCAAAATTATTTTTCAGTTCCTCGACAAGTAAAAAAAAAACAAAAAACATATATATATATATATATATATATATATATATATATATATATATATATATATACTACTCAAAGTAGTTTTAATTATTCTCATTAGCCGGAAGATCACGATAATTAGGAGATGGTTAATTATTCTCGTTTTGTCGGAAGCGGTAATGGTAAATAAGATAATGATAATGGCGTATATGCATATATATATATATATATATATATATATATATATATATATATATATATATATATATATATATGAATATATATGAATATATACATGTACATATATATGTATATATATGTATATATTTTCATTACATATATTATATATATATTGCATATTATATATTTTACAAGTACATATATATATATATATATATATATATATATATATATATATATATATATATATATATATATACATATATATACATATATATATATAAAGACACGCACACAAGTAGAGACATAATGAAAACAGGAGAGCAGATTATCTATTTCCGGAGACAGGAAACTGTCCGATAAACGAAGAACATCATTATGGACCATGGATGCAGAGAAACAAAAGCACAAGAACGTTGTTAATGATAAGAGAGATAACAGCAGCAGTGTGAGTGTAACAACGGTAATGTTTTAACAGTGGCGACAAAATTGATACTGATAACAAAAAAAAACAGTTGTAATGACTGATATACTTGAATTGTCATGATTGTTGATATTGAATCAGTATAACATGAGAGAGGTAAAGAAAATAACAGTATAAGGATACTGATGTGGTGAAAATAACACAGGAGAGGTCGTTGCATTGGTTTAAGATAGGCGTGTAGGTCAAGGATTAAATTACACATGTATCTTTCCCGTAAAATATGTATCTCTCTCTGTCTCTGTCTCTTTCTGTCTCTTTCTGTCTCTGTCTCTGTCTGCCTGTCTCTCTCTCTCTCTCTCTCTCTCTCTCTCTCTCTCTCTCTCTCTCTCTCTCTCTCTCTCTCCATCTATCTATCTATCTATCTCTCTCTCTCTCTCTCTCTCTATCTATCTATCTATTTATCTATCTATCTATCTATCTATCTATCTATCTATCTATCTATCTATCTATCTATCTATCTATCTATCTATCTATCTATCTATCTACCTATCTACCTATCTATCTATCTATCTATCTATCTTTCTGTCTATCTGTCTCTCTCTCTGTTTGTCTGCCTGTCTCTGTCTCTCTCTCTTTTTGCCTCTCTCTTTCTGAAATGATGTGACACATATATACTACTAGTGCAGATGATATCCAAAGCCAGGTCAGACGCAACGAAAGGACAGTAGAAAAATAACACGTTAATCAACAATTGCAGGTCAAAGGTTAGTAGAGTTGCAAAAAGGGGGTGCATACAGTATGGGAGGATATATTCAGGGTACTTGTAGAAAATGTTACGTGTTGCTCATTATTCTTATATTTTTAAAACGTGCCTTTAGATATCTTCATAAGCATGCCCACGCGTTTTTTTTGTTTTTTTTTTTAGAGTACTAATAAGATCCTGAATGTAATTAAGGATAGTCGTCGCCAGGTTCTATATAAGTGGAATAAAACAATATTATTATTCGTGTCCCATGTGTTTTTTCGTTCATTTTATTAGTTTCTTGTGACGTGCCTAAACTGCAGCATGATATATGAAACTGAAACCAAACAAAATATACGATATTTACCTACAAATAATCGCTGTTAACCATCGCCTGTAAAATCAGTCGAACGAGCACATTTCCGGAATGAGCCAGCATCTAAAATTACTTTAGTTTTTGCTCAGTGCGCTACCGTTTTCTATCATCTCCTTCCCCCTACCTACCATTCTCTACTCCCCCTACCCCACACCCCGGTCTCAGCCTCTCCAAGTGACGTCATAGGCCTCATCACCCCAAGCTGCGGCAGAACTCCCAAGTGGCGAGACCTTACTTACATAGACCTTGGTCGTCGGTACAGGGTAAGTCATATATTTTTTTTTATCCTTTGAGAACGTTTGCTTTCACTCTTTACTTCTAGTGTTAGATCTCATGATTTCTTTCCAAAAGTGCTTGCTCTGCTTTCCCCGCGGATGTTACAGAATCATAGATTAATCATAGGTTCCATCTTGTCGGTAAACGGATACAACCTCTTCAGTAAGAGCAATAATACTGCTACACGTAATGATTTGCAATTGCCTCGCCATACTGCAGAACTGGGTCAGTACCAGAGTCTGTGGTTAGTGATCTGGATGTTACAAACAGGAGTGTCTTTAGGAATGATAAATAGGTATCCAAACTCTCCATATATCGACGGACGAGGCAGTAATGTAACATTTTCATGATACGCTTTCATCTGCAAAAATGTGTTATGTATTTTTTACGGGGTATATTGTTATTGAATGTAAAGTGAATAAATGGGATTATTTTAAAGAATAATGGGAGGGAGATCATAACTCTTACCTTAGTTTGGCACCAGATCTGAATGAGAAAGATACATACTATAATATAGTTGAGAAAATATAGTTTCCCTTGCAGCCAGAGTAGCCAGACTATTCTTCCTGGAATTCACATACACATATTGTTCTAAATTATCTTGCAAATGCCATCTTTAATGCAACATATAAACCTTATTATAAAGGCACCAAACGTCCAAAAAGATCATGAAATTTTGTAAGGACCACATAGCCAAGGCCCTGTACAGACGGACGGTTTCAAATATTGCAAAAATTAAACACCTTCGACAAGATTTGAAACTTTATCATGACTTCAAATGCATATCGACAAAAGGACTAGCTCTGTTTGGAACGTTTTGATAGGCAGGTGATCATACTGACGCGCCTCCAGCACCTAAATTGGCTTCAGCAAGAAAAAGGGATCAGGGCAGGAACACAAAAAAGGGATGACAGGCAGTTGAGTTGATGATGATATTTAAAGACTGCAGATTCATACCATACCATAAAAACAGACAGTGGGCAGGGAGGTGAATACAGAAACCAAGGTTGTTACTGAATCAATAGCTCATATTTTACCAGATTGGCGTGCCAGATTTTTCAATATAAACTCGTTTTTTTTATCGTTGATATCAGATTGAAAGGGAACGAATCTTGTGTTTGCAAGGCTGTTATTTAAAGGGATCAGAGTGAAAACAACTTTTAGTGATGATGTTCCAGCAAAAATGAAAGAATACTTAGATGTGTCACATAAAAAAAAACAATTTTTTTTTATTAAGTTATGAAATATATAACATTGCTAGGGTTTTCTTCTTCACACCTTCTTCGGAAGCGCGAGGAAAAAGCCCCAGTGCTTCCCAGTCCCCAGTCCAAAGTAATTGTTTAAACTTTGTCTCTCCCCAGACCGCGGTTTCTGGGACGCTGTTCTGTCGCTGTCACGAGCTAGCCGACTGTTGAGCGATTTCTCCCCACTGGGCCCATTTCCCTTCGTTCCTACGGGCTGATTCCTTTTAGAATTATTATCTGGATAACTTCCTTCCGTGTCTGGTTCCTTCGTCGGTGACTTAATGCAGTTTAACCCATTGCCGCCGGGGAAAAGGAACAAAAAATGGGGGAAATGCAGTACTCATTTTTTATATTTTTGTGAAATATCTCTGTCCATAGATGGCTCTGCTAGTCCTGATTTCACCTTTCCTTGAATTGGCGGGAAAAAACGTATTTTTACTAGTGCTATAAATATAGATGGTGTTATTTTTAACAGCAAATTAGGATAGCGTCAAATATTTTCGTAAATCGATGAAAAGGGTGAACGGGCGAGACAGTCAGTACTCGTAATTGGCTCATTGGATACTTAGTACAAGTGTAGCCATCTATGTGTAAATACAATCGAATAAGTCGACTCGCAGTGGGCATGGCATGTACGTACATGCCATCCCCGGCGGCAATGGGTTAAACTCTCAGTCATGAAGCAAGAGATCGCGCCAGAAGAGGTGAACCACGAAATGCGCTGACAACAAAATCGCAACACAAAATGATGTTTATTTTAGCTCGTGAATCCCTAGGGCTTTATCACCAGCCTCATCAGTATCGTTCTTAGATGACCCTTAACACTTATATTTATATGTCTGGATTTATTTAATTTTTTTCTCTCTCTCTCTCTTTGTGGTTCCCTACCCTGGGATTGGACGGAGTACAGTACTGCATGTATTCTTATATCAATTTTTCTCTATTTCCATTTTTACTTACTAGTTATGTTCTTCTCAATTAAGCATTTTGGTTGCACTGCTTTTTGTTATTTTGTTACTGTTCTACATATACGCTTTCTTCACTTACATTGAAAGGTTATAAAATATATTTTTTTATTTTATTATATACCCATGTATCGCATGTCAATTATGAATGTACTCAGTTATGGGAGGAATCAGTCATCAAGAGTATTTTCAACTCGGGCATGTAGTGACTTTTTCTCTTTTATTTTCTAAAGTTTTTTGTTGCATTACACTTTTGTTATCAATATCTATATTGTTTTTTTTTCTGTTGCACTTTTATGTGCGGGCGAGTCATAATACCTATTTGTTATGTTGGATTTTTTTTTCAAGTAATCACGTTTTTATGTTTACATTGCTGTTTAAACATTCTGAATTATCAGTTATCATTGAATAACAAAAATTAATAGTAATAGTAGTAGTAGTAGTAGTAGTAATGATGATAATGCAAATGCAAATAATAACAATAACAACCACAGTTATAATAATGATAATAATATTATTTCCACTACTATCAATGACGATAATAATAAAAGTACGATAATAATACTGTTGTTTTTTTTTATCAGGACTTAATATCACACTAACCTCAGCAGCCGAGTGTACACGTGGAGGCGAGCATTCCCAGTTCCCTTTTCAATTTGATGTCAGGTTAATCTTGCTTAATCACTTAACCAAGGGGTTCATTAATGCACTAGAAATAAAAGCACGTCAAAAGGCAACGGAATGCGGGGCAAAATCACAGGCAACGGTTCTGCAGCCGGGGAAATGAGGGGGGGGGGGGGCAGAGAACGAGTCCCGAGCGATCTAAAACTCTACGGGACGAGACACCACCTTCCACACCTCCAAGACACACATACAAATACATCGTCGAATTACAATACAAATGCATCGTCACGTTACAGTGTGTATTTTGATGTGATCCTCTTTTTTATATTTTTCTATCATAGAAATTATTTTAAATATATATAGAAATATTAAGATAGTATAAATAAATGCAAAAAAAAGGCAAAGTATAAAATAATTAGAATTATACGTAATGCCAATGAGCAATTCTGAAATAGCCACTTCCGGGTTGTTTACTGATAGCAGCGCCATCGACGACACATTGATTTCAAAAGGAAATCACTATTAGTAACAGATGTCTGAGAGCGTGTGTGGACTCCTAGGCCTGTTTTCAGCGGACGACCAGTATCGTTCGGAATGCGAGCGCAAACGAACAGCTGAGAAATTGCAAATAATACTGCGAAATCTATTGGTTACGTATTCTTAAAATTGTATTATGGGTCTCACTTTTTTTTTTTTGGGGGGGGGGTAAGTTTGGAAATGACGCCTAACACCGATTTTCCGATGTGCAATATATTTTTCCAATAGTTTTCGTCGTGTTTCGAACGAATCTAGCACTCATTTCCTCCGCCCCATTAAATCCCCTCACCTGTCTACAAAATCTTCACCTCATAAGTTCCAGCACGATAGAACCCAGGCAAGCAAGAGATAATGACGCGTTTTTGGGTAATATAGGGGGCTTCGCTTCCTTAAACCTCTTTTGGGGGGACTGCTGCCCCCTACCCCCCACCTGGTCCACAAAATCTTCACCTCATATGTTCCGGCAGGAGAGAGCCCAGACCTAATAACAGTTTTACCCACACTACCTCAAGCATTATCTCGTGGTCGCGATCGCTCTCCGCCGTTCCTCATCGGACAGCGGAGGGTTGAGTTTCGCGGCCTCGACGAAGAGCTGATAATAGACTGGTCTCTTCTGTAATGACACGGTGTCTTGCAGTTCGGGCACAGTACATCCACTGGCAGTACACCGTGATTTCGCAAGTATAATGAACTTGCTTCGTTATTTTCGATGATATTTTGCAATGAAATCGACATAGTTGTTATCACACCGGACATATGCCGAGCCGTGATGGGACTGATTTGAATTTCAACTACCTTTAGGCTCAGCTTCTATTGTCACGTGATGATCTGTTTCATATTTGAGGATTCGAGAATCTAACTGGCTCATTAGAATTCCCTCGCTTACGCCATGCGCTGCGAATCCGTCCGTTTCCTGGATTTTACACTTTTAATACCGTTACTATCAATTTGCGAAAATGATATAGAAAAAAACGTTCATAGAATGATGTATTCTAGTATTTGGTAATACCTTCTTTCTTTTTAATCTTGTTGCTCTATGTACAAAATATTTTAACTTTATTACTTTCAGAACGATTACTAATTGCGTCAGATCTTATTTGACTATGGATGCACCGCCATTTTTAAAATGAAAATGCTCGTGCAACTGCGCCTTTGAGTACATTTTGTTACAGTAGACACAAATACTATCCATGGTATTTATGTCTTTGATGTACTTGCGAGACGAGGTGTTTGATACAGTGCCCAAATTCAATTCCAGCAATGGACATATGGAGTTATTCTATTTATACCATGTGTCCTTAATCAACATATAATAGAAACACTAGAATTTCCTCAAAATATACGTAGCTATAAAAATAACCATCTATGGACAGTAATCAGCCACTTGCAAACATTTGGTTTACATCTAGTGGCAGCTACCTGTCTAATTCAACATGTTTCACTTACATACCAAACGCCCAGTTCTACATCATTATGGTATGGCAGAAGAGGCTTCTATAATCAAAAGAAATTTACTGAAAAATAAGGCAATAGTTTTAACACTGTATTGGACCAGTATGAAAAAACTTTCACTTCTAATACATTTGTCGATATTGCTTATAATTTTCTCCGTAAATCTACGAACACTGCATTCTGCCAATTAGAGAAGCAAATTGTCTCACGGATGATAAGAGAAAACAGAACAGATCAACGGAAATAAATCCTCAATGATCCTTCTTTTTTTCTGTTTACACTTGCATGACCCTTCCAGGCTTAAATAAAAAACCATTTTTACATTGGGCTTTATAAAGCTTTTACAAAGTATACACAACTCTCTACAAGGTGTCAATAGGAAGTTCTTTTGGGTAAAAATATGCGAAAAAATATGTATGACTTGCGTCACATGACATTAAAACCCATCTTCAAAACAAGATACATTGGTTCGTTTGAATGTAATATAGTTTTAAAGATGAATGAATGAATATTTGTAAATGAATGGCACACTTACCAATAATTATGTAAATTATTCGAAAATTAAGTGTGTTAACAAAAATAAACATGCACTTTCTCAATAACTTCATTTCTTTTTTGGACAAAAAATACTAAACCATTTCTACAAGACGCTTTCCTTGTTTAAGCAATAAAAATAAATCAGACAAACTTATTAAAATAAAAGGATGACTAATTATTTTTCACCTTAATAATTATTATCACTGTCTTTCTCTTTTTTTTTCTTTCCACTTCTTCTTGCACACAGCATTGAAAAAAAATATTGAGAGAGAGAGAGAGAGAGAGAGAGAGAGAGAGAGAGAGAGAGAGAGAGAGAGAGAGAGAGAGAGAGAGAGAGAGAGAGAGAGAGAGAGAGAGAGAGAGATAGAGATAGAGAGAGAGAGAGAGAGAGAGACAGAGAGAGAGAGAGAGAGAGATAGAGAGAGAGAGATAGAGATAGAGAGAGAGAGAGAGAGAGACAGAGAGAGAGACAGACAGATAGACAGAGAGAGAGACTCACTCTTACACCACATGTCAAGTCATCACTAAAGCTACACCTAACAAACTCCATCAATTAGATCTAACATCTAACTATCTTTAGACTAACAATTAAATAAAGAAGAAAAATAAAATACAAATATCAAAAAGAAAAGACTCTTTGTTTTGTGTTTTGTTTGTTTGTTTGTTGGTTGGTTTGAGACTTTCAAAACATTCTCTCCATCAGCTGGTCTATGGCAATTGTTTTCTTATTATGTAATAGAAAAATTGGCTGACATTGGGCGATGAAAATTAAAACTGGAAAATTATGGAATAAACAAAGTAAATATAATAATAAAAATGATGATAATGATGATAATAATAATAATAAGGATAATGGTAATAATAATAATAATAATAATAATAATAATAATAATAATAATAATAACAATAATGATGATGATAATAATAATAATAATAATAATAATAACAATAATAATAATCTTTACTCAATGTTGCTGGATAATCTTCACTGTACCCTGTCATTTTGTTTTGTGAATTCTCCACTTATTAACCTTATTTGTCATCAGCACATTTCCCCTGTCCTCAATTATTATTTTTTTTATTATTATCTTCTTTTAATGCTCTTTATATCAATGTTTATATCATTATTGTTGTTGACATTGTGATTTGAATGTTATCAGTTAAAGTAAATAAATACAATTTTAAAAATCGAGGAAAAAAGGTAAAGAAATAAGCTAGGAAGAACTATAGTAACTGACTTTTGGGTGATTAATGACCTGTGGAGCCATTTACATGTAAAGATAATCAATAAATAAAAAAAATCTACAAGGGACATGGCATGTGTTCTTGCCATTCCAGCAACAGTGGGTGTAATAATACCAGGAGTAGTATATACTAATACTTCTAACAATATAAATAACAAAAAAATGACAACCTTGGGAGAGAGTGGAAAGCAAAATCAGAGATCACTGTGATCATCTCCATAGAAAAAAAAAAAAAAAAAGAGAACGTTTGTCCTATTTTGAGAGCGTAAAAGGAACATGATGGAAAAATTATAAAAATAAATGTCACGCTTTCAGGGACACGCATCATGGCTGCGGCTTTTGCTTTTCAATTTTTTTCTTTGTCTGTCTCCTATTTCCTTCTCATCTTCCTTTTCCTCTTTTCCCCTCGCACTTTTTCTTCTTTCCTGTCTTTGTCCTCTTCTTCCTCCTCCTTATCATCTGCTGATACTCCTTTCTCTTCCTTGCATTTGCTTCTCTATATCCTCTTTCCTTCCTCCTTGCTTTTCCTTCAATTTTTCCTTGTCTTTGCTCTCTTTCTTTATCTCCATGTAATGTATTCTTTTCTACGTCTTCTACTCCTCCCTCCTCCTTTTTTCACCTATCACCTCATTCTTCTTTGTACCGTCTTCTTCCTCCTACTCCCCCCCTTATCGCAATGCAGCTGTTCTATGCCTTGGCCTCTGCCTCGCTAGCTTGTGGAGCACTCTTGGCCCCTTCATCGCCTGTTGCCTTGGGTTCTGGAGGGTCAGGAAACAGATCCTTGATGGAGCCAAGACAGGCAGCAGCTGCATTTGCCTTGGCCAGCTTCTTGGACGATGCTGCTACTGAGGGCCGGAACTCATGCCCGTTTACTATCACCTGCAGGATAAAGACGATGGGGGAAGATATCAAACACAGTATTGATACTAAAATCAGTGAAATAAAATAATAATTAATATTAATAATTATCATTTTAACAATAAATTTAATACAAATATAACGATACAGTAATATAATAACAATGCAAAAGATACTACTAGTAAGGAATGAGAGGAGTTGGATAAAGTAGTGGAGACAAGATCATTACTAGAGCAAGTAAGGCGAATAGGGTAACAGGCCTTACCTTCATGAGGAAGTTCTTCTTGTGGTCTGGTCCACAGTCGTAGATCATGTCGAACTCCGGTGGCGGCCACTCGCGCTTTGTGCACAGCTCAATCAGTGCCGACACAGGATGTTTCCCTAGATACAAAGGGATACATATACATGTCAAGGAGAATTCAATGAATTGAATATTCAATACATAAACAAATAGAGAAAAAAATTACAATAGTCATAACTAGTCTTGTTTATATACATTCAAAAATGAAGGAAAAACTAAGACACACTCCATAACTGTTAGAAGTCCACTCTTGGTCAAAATTCCTCAAACATTCTTTACTTTACAGTACGTGGTAAATGTATATTGCCACCCATAATGTATATATACGTATCCCTTCACCGTCTCCCCGCCTCTTTACTTGTGCTGGTGAAACAGTCTGCAGTCACTTAAAAATGGCAGGTCTTCAGGTGTGGTCCTCAGTTCAGCTCAATGCTACTAACACAACAATTAACAATTCCCTGGTTATACAATGAAGTCTCGACTGCTCAAGGTGTGGTGTAGCACCTACAGGACTGGCAGTAAGAATCTCATATCAGATAGCTCTTTATAAATGCCATGAGGTAAGATCATTTGTACACACTACAATCATCTACAAAGTTAAAATGATCCTCCACATGAAACTTGGTTGCCACTGTGCAGGGTGAGTCTTCTGCAGAATTTGCCATGAGAACCACTTTAAATAAGCAATGAACAGCACACAAATGTACCACTGCCAAGCCCACATCCTAGTCTCAACAGGGGCCACCTACCACTCAAACAGGCAACAAAGCCTACTTACTTCGGGGTGGGGTGGGGGACTCCAAGACAATCTAATCTCCATAATTATTCAGCTTTCGACAAGCCCCTCCAATATAAGCCCTCCTAAATCTCACTGAACTGAGAGACATCTACCCACAGGTGCTAGAGGTATAACCTTTTCCACCCCAATCCTCATCTTTGAAAAGCAGGGCAGTTACTTGGCTTACCATCAAACTCCTTGAGTTTGGGCGCAGCTGCCCTCTTTGGTGCGGACTCCTGCTTGGCATGCAATCCTGGCAGGAGGGAATAGAATAACTATGATTAGAATTGTTGCTAAGGATTTTCAGTAAATTTTACATAATCAGCAGTAGATCAGTCAGAATCATGGTTTGGATCTTCAGTCAGAATTACCCGAACAGAACAGAAGTGGATTTGAAATTAATTAGGGCCGAAGTAGAATCAAAATTTAAATTAGACTGCCCAAATCATTAGATGGCTCAAATACACTTATATACTGGCAGAGCCACATATGCAGCTGAAGAATTGGAAAACAAATACAAATTGATTGTTAGACCCACACACAACACAAATATGCTCTTTCCCACTCAAGCATTGCTCTCTCCCGAGAGTGATCACATACTACCACCTCTTTCACCATTGCCCTCACACTTGGATCATTCACTCATTTTCATTCCTGCTCTGACTCCACTCCACTCCACTCCACTCCACTCCACTCCACTCCACTCCACTCCACTCCACTCCACTCCACTCCACTCCACTCCACTCCCCTCTTCCCTCTCTCTCTCTCCCCCTCTGCCTCTCACTCTTCACTATCTCTTCTCTCTCTCCCCCTCTGCCTCTCACTCT